TAACTACTATAGCTACTAAATTAAGCATGAGAGATGGAGTGTTGGGAGGAGCAAAAGAAAACAAAAGGAGCCCTCTAAGAGTTAGTGGAAGTAAAATAATGTTCATTAAAAATAGAAAAACAAACACACACAAAAATCTTTTGTGTTCAACTTCACACTCGTACATCATAATGTTCTAGTAAAAGGCCATTTCCCTTGAGATAATAAAAGAATTGAATTTTTCCTTATCGGTCATCTATTTTTCTAGCCCAAGCTATTACTCCCGCTCTAGGGTTGCTAGGCAACAGGAAATATTAATAGCAGCTTTTATTAGCTTAGCTTTTGCAGCAGAGTAGCAGAATGAGAAAATGGGAAACATAAATGTGTTACATAAATCTTTCAACCTTTCAGAGCCGGTGTTAGTCTCTGTTTTCATAATGATTTATTGAAGTGATGGTTCATTTATGAGCAAAAGGAGTACAGGATAAGAAAACGGAGCTATCCACTGCAGGGGTGTTTGAAAATAAATAATTATAGCCGGGGAGCAAAAGCTGTTTAAAGCCATTTTTCTGAGTTTTAGAAAATGTAAAAAGACATATTTCTTTCGCTCACTGCCTTTGAAAAACAGAGGGATGAGAATTTTATCCGGACTCTCGTGCATATAAGGAAGGCTCTGGACCTTCTACTCTACCGCCTTTCTAGGACCCTCCTAGGGCCCATTTTGGAGATCTTCTACTCTTACCCTCGAGAGACACCACGACACCCCTGATTTTACCATGGAAGGCCTGTTCTCTGGCCATGAAACCAATGGCTGTCACTTTGCTGTTGCTTTATTTCTTTCTTGATATGAGAGTTTGAACTCAGGACCTTACACTTAGTAAGTAAGTGATCTACCATGTACACCACACCCCTAGCTCTTTTTTGCTTTTTTTTTTTTCAGGTAAGGACTTGGGGTTTTCCCCCAAGACAGGCCTTGGATCATGATTTTCCTACCTAAATCTCCAGCATAACTAGATTGACAGGCACTACCAAGCCCAGCTTGTTTGCTCAGATGGGGTTTCACTAAACTTTTTGCCCAGATTAGGCTTCAAATCAAGAGCCTTCTGATCTCCATCTCTTGAGTAACTAGGATTACAGGTATGAGTCACTGTATATCTGGCATCTTTGCTGTGGCTTTTTTTTGGGGGGGGGAGGGAGGACGGTTGGTCTGGAGCTATCCCTGAGTAATTTTTGCTCAAGGCTAGCATTCTACTTCTTCAGTTTTCTGGCAGTTAACTGGAGATAAGAGTCTCATGGACCTTCTTGCCTTGGCTGGCTTTGAACAGCAACCCTTAGATCTTTAGCCTCTTGAGTAGCTAGGATTACAGGCATGAGCTACCAGTGCCTGGCTTTTGCTGTTGCTTTTAAGCAAAGCATTGACCCAAGTCCCAGAATAATAAACATACCCTGCCAGCTCCCAGTGGCTCCACCAACTCGGCCTCTGACTTGCTTTCTCAACCCACCTCTGCGGCAGCCTAAGCACTGCCCCAGCAATGCCTACAGCTCTGGAAAAACTTGGGCTACCAAGTCATGCCAATAAATTGACTGCATTAATAAACATAGGAGCTTACACTCATTAAACACCTACTGTGTGCCTCTTCCCCACATCTGACCATCGAAACTTCCAGAGTTCCTACAAGGCATGCACCTTTGATTGACCTTCATCACACAGGGGAGGAAACCGAGGCTCGGGGAGGAGGACAGCCTAGCTCTGGGTTCCAGGGCGGGGTGAGGACTCACATCAGCCTGACCCTACTGTAACTAGTGGATGAAACAAAATGTCAAGAAAACTAAGACCCTCCCCGCCCCTGGAAGCAAATGTGATCACAGGATATTAAGGAAGTGACCTTTCACCCTATGTGCAAGGGGTGAGTCTGCCACCTATCCCTTTAAGAAGTGGAGTCCATTTCTCCATTCATGATTCAGGGGATGGCCATGTGACTGGCTTTGACCAATGGGAGAATAGCTTGTGCTAAGTATGCAGAAGTCTGAGAAGTGTTTGCATCCAGGGGATGTTTGCTTTTTCTTGATGTGCCTAGGAACCCCACAAACCCAAGTCACCGTGGGAGGAGGGACTCACAGTCAAGTCTCCTCCATGGTTCTCTATAGTTTTTATGAGCCAAGGGCAGAGATTTGTGACTCAGACTATTTTAGACTGGGGGCCCCAGGCAAGGTGCAAGCTGACCCCAGAAACGATCTGAGCTTGTTCAGGTCAAAAGGACCACTTTGCTGACCCAAATAGTCCAGGAGAAAGAATCACAATGTGCTGTTTTAAGCCTCCAAGTGTTGGGGCGGTTTGTTACACAGCAAAAGCTGACTGATACAATCATAAAACAAAAACAAAGAACTTATGCATGGAGAATGATAAAGATAATTGGTTGGACTCAGGGTCTTCTATAGCCTGCAGTGGCTCAGAAATCTAGATGGTTGTGAGGAGGGACAGCAAGTCTTCTGTCCCTGGGCCTCAGGCTATGGAGGGGATCTCCTGGGTCTCAACTCATGCAGATCAAAAAGGGACACGCTGACCCTGGGGCAGGGGTGCGGGGAGGGGAGATTGATGAGGAGCAGCCCTGACAAGGAAGGGCAGGGGCAATGGTAGGAGTATGTGAAGAGCTCTTTGAGTGGACACACAGGCTCTTTCCCCAGGTTCCAGGCCCTGTAGGTTCCCATGAGAACCACTGCTGAAGCAACTAAGGTATTGTTCCTGCTCCCAGCAGCCATCCCAAGACAGCAGCCTGCAAAGGCCCTCACACAGAGGTGGGAGGGCCCAGGCCTGTATCCTGGTAAGATGCTCAGAAAGAAACACCAGGACCCAGGGCACAAAGGCTCTAAAGCTCAGCACTAGGATGTTGATCTGTGTTGATCAGATTTGCACCCCCAGCGAGTACCATGAGTGGTGATGGCGGCGATATATCAACCCTTCCACCCATGTAGTTGGAGATATAGGAGAGTTGGCAAATCAATGATGTTCCTTTACCAGAGAAAGTTTCCCCACCACCATCTCGTAGGGATACAAGGGATACAATGAGAGAAGGGGACTTGTTTAAGATTCCTGGAAAAGCCAGCAAGACTCAAAGTTGGGAGAATGCCTAGAGAAGATTTGTACCAACGCTGTGCTGCAGACTGGACCACACAGCTGCAGAGACACAAGGGCTTGACCTAAGGAAGCCCTGTTTCCCCCGGATCATTAGGATTCATGGCAAGGGTGGGCCCTGCCCAGCCTCCACCTGCCCCAAACTCCTCTGGCTCCATAATAGGTAGAGATTCCCAGGGAGCTTGGATCTATGCCTGCCAAGGATAATTCCTCCCTACTCCACCCCAGGGGTGAGGAGGGGCGGGGTACAGTACCATTGTACCATCTCCAAAATCAACGATTTAGACTCAACAGAAGCTCCCTAATAAATTCCACTCTTGGTGTGTGTGTGTGTGTGTGTGTGTGTGTGTGTGTGTGTGTTTATCTCTGGGTATTTTAGAAACCCTGATTTATACATACAATATCTCTCTCAAAATGAGACAATCAACACTGGATAAAATTATTGAGTTATGAAAATAGAGGTCAGATGGAGGTGCAGCACTTTAAATTAAACTGGCAAAATATATCTTTCATACTAAATTGACTCTTTTTTGTCTCGGAAATGAATGTTTAATCAGTTAAGACGCTGAAGTCGAGGAAGAAGCCTTGAGCATATTTAATTTGGTAGAAGGAGCCTGATGCTAATACTCGCCACGATTCCTGCTGGCAGGCATCCTCTCCTAGGAGGAAATCTGACTCCACACATGTCTATGGGGCTCGGTAGCTAGACAGAGGACCACAAGAAATGAACTGGTAGCCTCTGAGATCAGAGCCAATAGGACAGGGCATTACTGAGATGGCCTTGCTCCCCTTTCCAGGAACAACACCTCTGGGGACATTGTGGACCATACAGATGAACACTTAAGGCATTTGCTAAGCTCCTATCTACACCCCTGAACTCTAGCTCGAACTACCGCCTTCCCTGATACTTACGCAAGATACCTTTCTTAAAAGACAGGATTCTACTTCTATGTTACATCCAGAATAAGCACAGAGAAAGAGGCAGGAAATAGGGATCCTTTGGGCTGGAGGTTGTAAGAATGGATTGGGAGCAATAAATAAAAGGTATACGTTTTTGCCAGTAGGCCTGTGGTTCACTTCTATAATCCCAGCTACTCAGGAAGCTAAGTTCTGAGGAACAAGTGGCAAAGCTGGCCTGGGCAGAAAAGTTTGTGAGATTCTTTTATTTTTGCCAGTTGTAGGACTTGCACTCAGGGCCTGGGCACTGTCCCTGCGCCTCTCTGGACTCAAGGCTAGCGCTCTACCACTTGAGCCACAGTGCCACTTCTGGCTTTTTCTGTTTATGTGGTTCTGAAGAATTGAACCTAGGGCTTCATGCATGCCAGGCAAGCGCTCTACTCATAATCCCCATTCCCAGCCCTGTGAGATTCTTATCTCCAGCAAAAAGCTGGAAGTGAAGGTGTGGCTCAAGTAATAGAGCAATCAGCCTTGAGAGAAAAAAGCTAAAGGAAAGCAGAAGGTCCTGAATTTAAGCCCCAGAACCAGCTCATGTGTACACACACACACACACACACACACACACACACACACACAAATGGTTACAAGTTCCTCTCCGAGTGATAAAAATGTTCTAAAATGCCATGTATAGATGGCTACATGACGCCATCGATCTATGAAAAGCGACCGAATTATATACTTCCCATGTGAATCATACAGCATGTGAATTACATTTCAATAAAGCGGTTAAAAATAAAAATTAGAAATAATACGACAGACCCCAATTTGTTAAGACACAGAGCTTTTTGCAGAAGCGACATTTTCCCTCCACGCAGTTGCCCAATGGAACCCAGACCCTCCCACCCCCGTGGGTTCCCAGCCCTGGAATTCCATGTCTCTCCATCCCATCCTGCAGGAAGCGTGGCAGGAAGACAGGAAGACAGGCACTCACGGTGGGCAGCTGGCCTGACAGCAGGTGGCCATCCTGGGCCAGCATGTTGGACACCATGATGGCGGGGAGGTCCATGGCCTGGTAGGAGTAGGCGGGGAGCAGACCGTTGGGCGTCAGGCCGTGGCGCAGAGAGTGGTAGCCAGCGTCGTGGTCCCCCAGATGCAGGAGTGATGGCTCGGGGAGGTTGGGCGGTGTTATGGGGGGAATCTCATAGTCTTCATTGTTCTCGCTCTGGCTGCTGTAGGTCTAAAACATCAGAAGGGGCATGAGGTGGAGGGGGGTTGTTGGTCAGTGGTCTGAAGACTGCAAAACACACCCAGCCCCACTGATCATAGTCCATAATGGCGACAGTCAGAGGCGCCCTGCCAGGCGAAGGGGGATACCTCTGCAAGGCAGTGTGTCTCAGGCCTCCTGACTCACTCAGACTCCTCCCTCCCACCAGAGGCTCTGGAGGCCAAAGCCTGGCTTCCTGCAAGACAGGGTTGCCTCCTGCACATCCCCCTCCCCGATTTCCCATCCGATCTTCTATCACCTGGGATCTATCTTCCCATAGTCACTACCTCATGGATGGGGGCTCAGGTCCCCCTGGGGAAGAACAGACCATTGGAAGTAGGTGGAGGGGCTACCCCAGGGCTCTTTCTGGGCAGCTGGATGATTTTTCTTTTAGGAATTCCCAACCATCACCTGTTTGTCTTTCTCTTCTTGCTAAGCGGTTCAAACATTCCCAGAGAAGCCCATGCTGGGCACTAGGAGCTGTGCTGGGCCTTTTCTCCCATGCTCGCTGCGTTATCCCTCCTCCTATGGTGATCAGCCACAGTGACCAGCCTGGATGCAACCTCACACCCACGATTCTCTGCACGGTGTTACCTGGGCCACCTCTCATCCCCCAACACATCACCTCCCCACTGCTACTCGCCCTGCAGCAACAGATTGGCTTATGCATCTTCTAGTAGCTTAAAACATCATCAGATAAAAACCTGAGCAGATCAGACCCCACGGGTACACCCAGGACTGCTGGCATTCCTCCTTCGAAGGGCTCCCGGAAGTCAGAGGAGGTTGACTTCCAGTACATTTTTTTTCATGTTAAATGTGACTTCTGCTTGCTGTCCTCAGTGCTTAGGTCAAAGAAATATGAACTCAAGAACTATTCATTAAAAAAAAAAACCTGTTGAATAGAAGTCAGGCCTTAGGGTAGAAAGGCAAACACATATCTCACTTAACCTTTGGGACCACCCTGGAGGTATATGTGGGAGGGGAAGAGGGAGTACTATGGTCACTTTTATTCAGGAGTCAGGGCAGTTGTAGTAGTTAAGAGGCAGACAGCAGCCAGACATGGTGGGGCATGCCTGTGTCCCCAGAACTAGGGAGCCTGAGGCGAGAAAAGCCAGTTTGGGATCCACAGCAAGACTTTCTCTCAAACTAGCAACACTCAAATAGACCCCAGACAGCTTAGGATCGAATCCTGACGTTGCCACTTCATTCCAGAATGTGATTCTAGGCACATTACTTCCTCTCTCTGCGCTTCAGTTTCTCATCTGTGAAGAAGAAGGTAAGTAGTACGTCTCTACATGGTGGCTGCACATAGCCAATGAATCAATGAATGAATGGAAACAGCTCGGGATGGTGGCTGGCGTGATCAGCCCTGAGTGTCAGCTCTTACTGCATCCTTTGTGGGCTTGCTGGAATTCTGGAGACACTAAGGCCTTCTCCAAGGACAAGAACGGGCACCCAGCCACTCACTGGCTCAGCAACCTTGCTAGTGAATGCTCCTCCTTCTCATGTCACACGTCTGTGCATCGTGGGGTGACATCTGTCTTCAGCGTCTTCCCGAGGTAGGCCAGGGGGCTAAGCACCTCACATGGAATCATCCATGGGATGATACTGCCTCAGAAAACAGAGCCCCCTCCCCTCGCCAGCCCTTTCCTCCTGTTCAGTCACTTCCTCCAGGCAGCCTTCTAACCTGCCTGCCCATCTTACAGCAAGACAACACCCTGCGCCTCCAACTTCCTCTCACCATAGTGTGCATTACCACATCTTCATCTTCTTTTCGTGTCCTCTATCCATCCCCTCCCCCACTGTAATTTTAAGCTCCATGAGGTCCCAGGTTCAGTCTGTCCGGTCTCCAGTATCTGGGACACAGCAAGCACCCACAAAATGGGCAGATGTCCCTAGCTGTCACTCATGTGTCTCTGTGTCTGTTCCTCCCAGCAGGCTGTTAATTCCCTCCAGCTACCTACTGTCTGTCATCTGCCACCTGTTTCTGTCTCCGTGGTCCAGAACAAGGGCTGGTACAGGACAGGTACCCAGTGACTGTCAAGTGATTGCACAATCCATTCTTTTCAGTCAAACTTCCACCAAACCGGAACCTGCCCAATTGTCCAGAAGCCTTTTGAAAAAAGTAAGCACACTTTGGATCCAAATATTGAAACAACACAATGATGAAAATTCATTTAAAGAGGCAATTAGCGCACTTGAAAGTAAATGTGCAAACACATACGCCTCTTCTGAGTGCAATAAATCCTCAAGCACCTCAGCACAAGCCAACCTGAGACTGATAGCCCTGACAGCCCTACTGTGTGCCAGCCCCACACCACACTTCCATACATGCTCTCTACTTAAAGGCCCTACTGTGTACCAGCAGTCCTGCACCCACATTTCCATACATAATCTCTACTTAGAGGCCATACTGTATACCAGTCCCGCAGCCAATTTCCATACATGATCTCCACTTAGAGCCTGTGTACAGACCCCACAGTCACATCTCCATACACAATCTCCACAAAGCCCCACACCCACATTTTCATACATGCTGTTCACTTTTGAAGGCCCTACTGTGTGCCAGTTCTACGTCCACATTTCTATACATGCTGTCCATTTAGTGGTGCCTGCCTTGTCTTTACAGACAAGGAAGATGGAGCTCCAACGGCAGAGGTGCTATATAACCCGTGAGATTCAGACTCAGGACTTGGGAATCCTCACTCCGCACAGTCTGTGCTGGGAAGGGTGCTCTGCCCATCCCAGTGCCAGTCCTCCTCCTAAGCCTCACATCAGCTACTCCAGATGGTGGAAGTGCTGTAAGTATCAGACCGTCCACTCCACCTCCCTCCTGAAACTAAGAAAAGAGGTACCAAGTGCCTGATCTGTACAAGCTCTGGTGTGGCCCAAGGACAGAGTGGTAGTTTTCCACACCCTGATCCCAAGATGGCAAGCATGCTGGACAGATCCAAAGACCAGGGGATCTGCTCTTGGGTCAGAGGTTGTCTCACATTGCTGGGAGGAGGGACCTTAGCGCCCGTGAAGGCAATGACTACAGGAGGCGGACAGGAAGGCAGGATGCAGGGAGCGACTGCTAGAGGCAGGGAGGACACGGAAGGCCTTAGTGGTATGAAGTAGTATCTTCACTTAGTTTGATGTGTATTTTCCTATAGATAAATGATACTGAGCATCTTCTCATGCATCTCTTGACTATTTGCATATCTTCTTTGGAGGAATGTCTGTTCGTTTGCCTACAAATGATTGGTTGTGGATTGCCTATCACTGTACTGTCAGAGTTCTTTATACTGTCTGGGTACTAAGCCCTTATGACAAGTGATTGGCAAGTATTTTCTCTCCTTCTCCCTTTCTTGACTGTGTCCTTAGGAATGTGAAAGTCCTTTGCTAGAATGAGTCAGATTCATCTGGTTTCTTATTGTTCATGGAGATCCAAGAACTTATGGAGAAATCTAAGTAATGATGGGTTACTTTCATGTTTTCCTCTAATAATGGCTTTAGCCTAGCAGTTTGTTCCTATCATGGACTCATTTTAAAAGCACTCTTGCTGGCATAGGACAACAGGCAGAGTCCAGCACATGGCTGCTCAGTGGACCCGGCATGATTTGGCAAAGAGACTATTTCTTTCTCTATGATTGGTCCAGCATCCTTGCCAGATGAAGCTGGCCACAGCTGTATGATGTGCAGCCCCTCCCTGCTTTTTCAGTTCTAGCCCATTGTCTCCATGTCCTTCCCCCTGCCACCACAGGCTCTTTCCAAGACAAATGTTTATTTGTTGGGAAAGTGGGAGTGCTAAACAAAGATGGAGAATGAGGAATAAAGTCCAAACAGTTCATTTGCATATACGGAAACAGAACAGTGAAACCTGTTGAAATTGTTTTAGGAAGGTAGAAGGCGAACGGGGAGAATGAAGGAGGGGGTGAAGATACATTATTTACATGCATGAAAATGTCACAATGAAACTTTCCTTGTACAACTAATGGAGGAAATGAAAATGATTACCAAGCAGAACGGTTTTAATTAAGACCACAATTAGGGAAAGGTTACAGTGTTTTAAAAATATTTCTGAATCTCCAGTGAGGAACAGGTAGCCTAGAATAAACATTAGAGCATAAAAACATGTAGTTACTCTGTTAAAAACTTTTCATTTGTCTCATTCAATCCAGCTTTTCTCCAACTCTGGCAGAGGTTAGAAGGGAAGATGACATTTGTTCCAAGGAGATTTCATAAGACAGCAGCTTGGTGCTTCCGAGTCTCGCTCACAGCCCTCTCTCCCCTTCCCCGTATAGCAGCAGAGCTTTGAGGTCCCTGGCTTTGCTCCCAGTTTACAGGTGATGCTTCCAATTTTCCCCGAGAAGCAGACATAGAAGTCTTGACCTTGTACCTAGCATGACATTCATTCATGCCTAGTGAACTACTGAGAATCAACGTTATGTGCGATGCAAATGGAGAAAAATGAGGCCATTTTCCCCAGTTGTAAATGTCTCAATGTTTCATAGTAAAATTAGTATTTCTTTTTCTTTCTTTTTTCTTTTTTTTTTTTGGTCAGTCATAGGGCTTGAACTCAGGGCCTGGGCACTGAGCTCTTTTGGGTTCAAGGCGAGCCCTCTACCACTTTGAGACACAGCCCCACTTCCAGTTTTCTGGGGGCTAATTGGAGATAAGAGTCTCACGACCTTTCCTGCCCGGGCTGGCTCTGAACCATGATCCTCAGATTTCAGCCTCCTAAGTAGCTAGGATTATAGGAGTAAGCGCCAGTGCTGGCAAGTAGTATTTCTAAATGAGCAGTTCCCCCCCCCCCCCATTTCAAAATCATGGTGAAGAATGGATCTTTTTTTTTTTTTTTGGTCAGTCATGGGGCTTAAACTCTGCGCTCTTCAGCTCAAGGCGAGCGCTCTACCCCTTGAGCCACAGCGCCACTTCCAGTTTTCTAGTGGTTTATTGGAGATAAGAGTCTCATGGACTTTTCTGCCTGG